TTAGTTTCAAGTCTTGGATAATTTATGGCTTCAAATGGTACTTCGCCAAGTAATTTTGTAATAGCGGTATAGCTGTCATGTTTTTGGCCTTGGTTATGCCATATAAAATGTCAAGCTTTGTTCATTGCTTATTGCCGTTATTTACATGAAAGTTGTCACCAGTACCCGGACGCTCTTTCTCATGCCCTCAGCATGCACTAGCAAGTAATTAGTTTATTTGTATGAAAATAATTAATTTTTCATCATCATCATCATCATCATCATCATCATCATCATCATCCTCCTCATCATCATCATCATCATCATCATCATGAAAATCGGATTTCTGTAAGATAGCCGGACCCGTCTGATATGCCTTCTTGGATATCATATAAGTTCATTACTCATGACATTTTCAATATTCTTCAGCAGAATTTATTTTTTGACATCAAGTCAGATTGAATTACATTTTTTGCCATGCACTGCAACTCACGAATATATATCTGTTTTTAAAAATTAGGGCCAACGTCGTGATTGCAAAAAGAGACATGTTCACCAAATTCTCCGATGCCTTTTCCAAGATGAACCCCTTCAACAGGGGAAAAAGCACCTAGAGGAGAAACTACGTCTGAAGACTAGAGCGGTGCAATAGTGGTAAATGCTACAGGAAACTCGCGCGTATTACAAGACGTTTTAAAATTACCATTAAGAATCCGTTTTCTGACATGTGGGGCTCATAATGTAGTTGACGTTTATCATTTAAGACTTTGAAGTGCTTAACCAAAAAAGGGTAACGAATGTGGGTTTGATATAATGTTGTCAAAAGGACAAACAAAGCCACGTTGCTACTGTAATTTGCTCGTGCAATTAATTAACTTTTACCAAACTTTCCCATGGCTGATTTGTATGTACAACCAATTTTAGGACAACCAAGCCAAAACAAAATTGGGCAACGAACTTTATACTTTCCTGCTGCACCAGACAAAATGGTTACAGGAAAAATCAATTACTTTCAATCCTGTCCTGATCGGGGAACGGAATGTTCCCGCGTTGACTTTGAACGTTTATAACTTCATCAAAACTCTGCCAAATTTTGCGAGTTTATCTCAAATTTATTTGGAAAAAATTGGATATTACAGGTTGCTGTGTCCAGAACTTGATGTTGCCATGGCAACCGCATTTTGACAGTGTGTTTTTCCAAATTTGGAATTTTTGTGTCTTTATTTATGAGAAATGACTTGAATACAGCTACTTTCACTTTTTGGTCATTTTTGGTCATATCTTTCTGGTTTTGAGTTTTTTTCAGTAATTTTTAGCGATTTTCTGACATTTTGAAAAAAATTTTGAAATCCAAGATGGCGGCTGTTTGGACATGATGTCCTATTTACCACGTGATAGATTTCGGACTTACTTTATACCCTCTTAGGCCCTGTTTATATAGTCTCGGATACCTGAGACAACCCTCCCTACCGAGGTAACTTTATCGAGCGTTTATATGAGAAAAAGTTGTCCCTGCTAGCCGAGTGCAAAGTTGACTCTACTTAATTATTCACAAAGACATCTTTCTTTGTTTGAGTTTGTTTCATTCATTTCATCAGTGTGGGATTTGTTGAGTTTATTTTACTTTTGTAACGTAAATTTGTGCTTTAAAACCTGAAATATCGGAAATAAGTGACACTCGGCACGCCGTGAGCTGTCCCGGGTGGGCGAGTTAAAATGAATATGAGAAAAATTTGTCCCGCCCGCCATAGTTACCCTGCCCTATCCTTTCAAAGGTTTTAGTGAAAAAAAAAGCTCGCGTAAGGTAACTCGGGGGGAGGGTAGTCTCGGGTACCCGAGACCATATAAACAGGATCCTTTCATTGTCATTGCTAACATTTAGTTCTATTCCAATTTTTGGAATAGAAATGTTTCTCAGAAATCGCCCCCTTCCCACCTTTCTCTGCAAGATTTCCTTTGACCTTTTATTTTAAATTCAATCGAGTGATAGTGTGTTTTCAACACCA